GTGTCAGCAAATCTCCACTGGTTTCACCTAAAAAGAGAAATTAATAACAACAATTCAGTGTGGGTAACCTTGGTGATGACCTGTATTTTGCCTCATAGGAAAAATTGTCCTTAAAATTTATGTCACTATCATAGAACAAGACAGAAGCTCCAGTGTCATCCCACTTATGAAACATTTACAAGAGTACAATCACTAGTCCTGGAGAAGTGTTCACTTCCTAAGCCAGTGGTCTGTGTGAATCTTCATTTCTTAAATTAGAAAAGGTTAAAGTCATAGTGAAAAGATGAGTTTGAGCTGAGAATTAAACAGGAAATGCATATGTGTCAGGGAGATGCAACCTTCCTCAACCCCCATTTTAGGCAATTTGCTAACCTCAGAAAATTGTTGACCTACATTCTCAAAGTCAGTGATGGAGTGCCATTCTGAGCTTTTTCATTTTACCTAACACACCTGGTAGTTTTTTATGGTGCTTCTGTAATTTTTAAGAAAAACTGTGATAGGCTTATTTGCACTTATAATTATCTTACCTAGGAACTCCATTCCATGCCATTTTGAAGTTTCTTGTAGCTAGATTGGGCCATGTGATATTCTACTGAAGAAATCATACAAGCAAGGAATTCAACACATGTTTAGTCACTACCTGATGACTTTGGCGAAAAGAGACAAACTCCTATTATGTTACACTAATAAATACTTCTTAAGTTAGCAAATGAAGGAGGCAAGGAGACTGGGAGGAGGGTTGGGAGGGATATCTGTGGTTGGAATATAAATTAAATCAAAAATAAAATTAATAAATGAATGCTGTTTGTTTAAAGGAATGTCACTACTTGAAATAGACATTTGTTTCACATTTGAAGCATTTATCATAATACACTCAATTTGATAAAAGTTTTGTGAAGAAAAATGACAATTTCAGATTACATGTGTATTATTGGAAATATTTGAATATTGTGTTACTCAGTGGTAGAGCACATAAACTACTATGCATGAGGCTTTGAAGGGGTCAGTCTCCATCACCTCAAAAATATTAATAATTGTAAAAAGACCCTCTGGCAGTTTGAAAAGAATATATAGGTTCCTATTTTTGAATACTTGGTTCCCAGACGATAAACCTAGGAAGAGTTAGGAGGCATGGTCTTGTTACTTTCTCTGCATTGTGGTTGTGTCTCAAGATGGATGGTCTCAGCTATTTTTCAAGTACCATGCCCCAGCATCATGCTCTCCATCATTATGGATATGGACTCCAAATCACTGAAACTGTAAGCCCCAAATAAACTTTTTCTTCTGTAAGTTGACTAGGCAATAGTTTTTCTCCACAGAAACATTCAATTAATTAAGACAAACCCATATAACTTGCATTCCTAGAGAAATAAAGAAACTGAAGATGTTGAATACCTATGGAATTGAATGGAATTCCCCTTCCCCTGATATGTGACTTGACTTAGTAGTAGAGGTGACAAAGGCTGATAAAGAAGCACAGGGCTGAAGCACCACCTTGGAAACATGACTGATGGTGACCGACTGACCTTTGTGAACCTGACTTTTGATTGTGACTTTGATTGCTTCTACTGGAATTGCACTACCCAAATGCCCATCAAAAGACTGCCAATGCAGATGGACAGTTTGAAATTTCCTGCTTTGCTGAGAAGTCTTCCAGGCACATTGTGGCTTTATGGGCTGAAGATGGATGCCCCAACATTACAGAGGAACTCCAGGTAACTGTCCAGGAAGCGACATGTCTCTGTCAGTTCTAGTGTTTACATTTTTATTATCCTTCTGAGGTCTTTGATAGAGTTGAAGACAGATAGTTATAATTATAGTTTTCCTTAGTTATGATAAAAGATAAGCTACATATAGGACTTTGGACTCACAAGAATGAGACAGATGATATTTTCTTTAAATCTTGCTAAATGTTGATAGACAAAATATTGTAACTATGTTCTTACTTGATAACTGTTCTTTTATATATGATTTGACTATGTTAAAGTTAAGACCTTTCTTTTTGTTTAAACAGAAAAGAGGAGATGTTGGGGGGAAAGTCCTGTGCATTTGCCAATAAAGCACTGCTGGCCAATAGGAATCTAGATAGGTGGGACTAGGAGTCCAGGAGAACTCTGGGAAGGAGAAATACAGGAGTCGAGATGTAACGCCATGGGGTAGGAAGCCCGGAAACTTCTCCGGTAATAGACATACTTAGATTAACAATTATGGGATAAATATTTAAGTCAGAGCTAGCCAGTAAGAAACAAGCAAGGCCAACAGCTTCATAATTTTAAAAAAGTGACATATTGCATATTCTTAAATTGAGATGATGTTAAAATCACTGAAACAGATTTTTATGACATCCCACGTCTCCAGTTTTTTTAGTAAAAAAGCAAACCTAACAATCATCATACAATGATTTGTCATTAACTATATATACATATATATACATATACATATATACATATCCTTATATATACATATACATATATATACATACATATATATACCCAGAGCTAACTATATAACATACACTTATGTATTAGAAATTCAAAGTGAAATTCAGAAAACAAAGTTCATCAACTTTGTTTTCAGAGAATGAAAAGGAATAACATTGAGTTGAAAAACAAGGACAATAACAAGTTTATTGGCAAATGTGTTGGGGCCCAAATTTCAGATATAAGCCTCAGCTCAATTCCAGGAGCTCAAATCTCCTATTGTCTTTTAGGTGTCAGCTGGATACCTCTGGATGGCCACAGTGGAAATTGGCTTCTAGTTTGTGTAACAATAGACCTAGGCCTCACACCCATCATGAGGGCTAGTGGGATGTGTCTGGGGAATAGTGGGATGTGCCTGAAGACTGTTGCCATTATGGAGTATCTGAGGACTTGTAGACGTGCTTTTTAGTGATTTCTAGGATCATCTCTAGGGTTAAAGGAAGTGTTTCCTAGTCAGCCCTATATATGTGATAATGGATGTCTTCTGCCAGTACCTCCATACTTGGAAAGCTATTTAAGAGGATGCTTGAACTGATGACATGATGTCTCTGTCTTGTCCTTTATGCTGCTGGGTAGCTAGGACTTCCCTGATCCACAGTCACCCACTCAGAGTCAGACCCAGGGGCTGTTCAGCTGGTTCCAAACACAGCCCCAAAGACATCAGTCCAGAATAGATAGGTCCTGTAGCTTAGGACTGATACATGCTGGATCCAGGTATAAATGTTTTAAATTTTATTTGAAATTTTACTTTTGAGTAGAGATATATTTATTTACATGAATATACTTAAAGGATGTCATAATTTGTCAAATAGTAAATATAACTGTCTAAAGCTTTGAGTTTTTCCACTTTCTCATTTGTGTATTTATGGAACATTAGTTACACTTACAGAAGGAGAAATAATACTGCATTGATCACACATGATTCTGTGCCTCAGTTGTACAAGCAGAATTCCTAAGAGGTCACAGCTCTTCTTGCTCCAGCCATTCTCAGTGAGCTCCAGAAAGGAGCCTGCTTCCCAGGACAGTCTGTCTCAAATTAGCAGACAACATGAGGAATGTGAGGCTTCTGACTTGTTTTTTTCCTCTTCCATTTTTATTTAAGTTGGTTTCACATGTAACTACCAGCTCCCTCCCCCTCTCCTCCTCCCCATAACTCCCCACCAGATCCCCTAGTCCCCCACCCAATCTCCACTCTGATCCCCAGGGAGGTGAGGAACTCCATGGTGGATCTCTGGTAACTGTCATTTCATCCAGGGTAGGGTCTAGGTCCTCCTTCAAGAGTTTAGACTAAGAGAGCATCCCTCATTGTATGATGGGCACTCAAAGTCTGTTTGTATGCCAGGGATAAATACTACCCAAGGCCCCATAGATTACCTAGGCCTCCTCACTGACACCCACATTCAGGGGGTCTGGGTCAATCCCATGCTTTCCACACAGCCATCAATCTGGGGACCAAGAGCTCCCCCTTGTTCAGGTCAACTGTTTCTGTGGGTCAGACCAGCCCAGTCTTAACTCCTTTGCCCATCACTTCTCCCTTTCTGACACTGGATTCCATGAGATCAGTTCGAGGCTACAGACTTGTATGCAGCCACTTGCAACTGTATAAGACTCTGCATCCCAGTCCCCTCTATAAACTCCAAGTATTCTTCTCCTTACTTCCAGACCCCCACTACCCATGAGGGAGTGCCTGTCTTTCACTGTTTGAAGTGGTTTCATCTGTAAGGGTCAGACTCTGGTCTCTTTCCTGCCTTCAGTCTCTTTACTCTGTGCTCCAAATGTAACAAAGCAGTCATGAGCATTCTACTTACCCTTCCAGCTGCTATGGTAACACAGCCTGACCATGATCCCTTAATAGGAAGAGGATTCATTTGACCTAACACTGCCAGGTTACAGTCCATCCTAGCATGGAAGTCACAGCAACAGAAGCTTGAGTGAACTCGTCACATCACATCCTCCATCAGGAAGAAAGAGCACAGAATGTTTCCATGCCATGCTCTACTCACTCTCCCCGCTTCACTCAGTGGGCAGGACGCCTCTGGAAAAAGTGCTGTCTGTTGTCAGGCTGTGTGATTATCTAAGTCTTCCACAGAGGCTCACAGGCCAGCCTAATCCAGATGAGTCATATTGAGATTCTCTTCACTGTGATTCTGCTCTGATCAAGATGACCGACATCACAGATGGAGAGTGCATCTGAGGCTTTTGAGGAGGTGAGTGCAGCTGTTACACTTCCTAACAGAACCTTAAGTCTGAAGCAGGAAGAAGCCCACACTTCTCCCTATAGTGCACACTACATAGGCATCCACTGCAGTCATTGTTTATGTGGAACTGAGATGTATCTTCAAGTCTCCTAGAGATAACCAGTTATTAGAAACCTTCAGGGAAGTCTACAAAACAACCATTAGGGAAGCAAGCATTTCTCAGGAATCATTGCATGATTTTAGCCTGCTATCTTACTTTTCCTATATGCTATAGATAGAGGACCAATGACAGATCAAAGTAATGATTGCAGAGAAGTCCATCTGGGAGAACTAATAACTTTATTTAGGTTACTTACAGGAGCATGGATAATCGAAAGTCACTCAGCTATAGTCCTCCCCAGCATCTTACAGGTTTGTGTTCAGCTCCTCCTGCAGCTCCACACACTGTGAACTCAGAGCACAGAAGTACACAGCCGAGTCGCTCAGGTGCACAGAGACTTTCTTCAGGTGGACGGAAGAGTCGCTCTTGCTAAACTCAGCCTCAAAGCCGCTCAAGCCATGAACCAAGGGCTCTCCAGAATAATACTTGAAGAGCAACTGGAGGCTTTGAACATGGAGCTGCATGTACCAGAAGAGGTAAGTAGTTCCACCATAGGAATAGTTGCATCTGAGCTCCACTGAGTCTCCTTCGAGGATGGTGACATGAGCATCACCCTAGGACACTGACTGTGCTTGGATGTGTCCTGCAAAATTAATGGTAAATCAATAAATGTGATGTAGACTTGGAGAAAAAATGTTCTTGCTAAAATTCAAGTGAGAAAAACACTTATTTGGGTGCATCTACAAACAATAAGGATGTTTTACTCACCTAGGAAAAAATGCATCCCCAGCAACAAGATGAGGACAGGAAGCATGGCTGAGCGCTGCGAACACCTCTGCTGCCTTTCTAGAAAAGCTTGGCACATGAAGTTCTCAGTTCTTGAAGACAAAGGCACAAAGTTGACTGTACATCTTCCGTGTTTAGATAAAATTCTAATATGAAATAACACCGCAGAAGTGGTCCTGGTCCTGGGAAGTTTCTAACCTCTGGCTGTCTTTACTTCTTCACTTAACAGATGTTAAAAGAAATCAGCCAGAGCTGGGCTTTGGTGGCACGCGCCTTTAATCCCAGCACTCGGGAGGCAGAGGCAAGCGGATTTCTGTGAATTCGAGGCTAGCCTGGTTTACAGAGCGAGTTCCAGGACAACACAGAGAAACACTGTCTCGAGAAAAAAAAGAAAGAAAGAAAGAAAGAAAGAAAGAAAGAAAGAAAGAAAGAAAGAAAGAAAGAAAGAAATCAACTAAATGCACATAACACCTACAGAAACAGAAGTGGCTACTATGTGCAACATTGCCCTCTGGCGACCAGTGCAGGATAAAGACTGTGGAGCAAATCCATGTGTTCTTTTTGTCTAGAGCACACCTCATGTTTCTAAGCTAATCTGTACTGTGTTGAGTCCTAACCTAATGAAAAATAGGCCATGCAAAATGGAAGAGTAATTTTCTTTCAAAAAAGATATCATATAATAAAACTATCAAATTTGGAGGCCATTACCATTTGAGTATAGAAGCATAAGTTGCAAGCAGCCCTGCTCCCTGAAATAGTCAAAACCGGGAAACTGAATCTTTAAAGTGTGTTTTACTGAATACAGGAAGCCAGGAAAAAATGTGCCTTCCAACCATTTTCTCCTTAGCATTTTTGTAGAGATCCAGAACAACAGAAATCAAGTTTAATCTTCTGGTCAGATGGTTCTTGAATCTGAGATGTCCTTTCCATTTTCCTCCATCCCCAGTCTCTCTCTCCCTCTCCTCCATTCTTCCCTCACCTTTCTGCCCCCACCCTTGCTTAACTGAGGACAAAAAAATCTTTAGCAGTGTGCTTGCTGCAGATTGTTTCTTACGGAAGAAGTCCACAATGCTCTTGCAACTCACTGTGCCCCAAACACTGCCATTACTTTTGCAGACACACTGAGGTCAAATGCCCTTGACTGGGCTTTATAAGCCTTTGCTGGCAGTGAACATTCAATCAAGGAACATTCTGCTAGCATATAAAGATAATGACTTTGGTGAAATGAAAGAAAAAAAGACACGTAGAAAATAGTAGTCTAAATGTGAATCCTTGCCTTTAAAAATGAAACCAATTTATCAATTTCAAGTAGAGTTGTGAAGATTCGGTAGCTTTAGATAAGCAGTAATGATATGCAATATGGAGAAAAGACAGAAAAATCCCATCATCATTTAGGTTCGATAATCCTGGGATGACACACCATCAAAGAAATAGGCTGGAACGTCTGCAGAAGGAACTAGGGTGACTGATGAAGGTGCTTATCACGCACACACACACACACACACACACACACACCTTGGAAGAAAAAAAGAGAAATTTCATGAAACATGGACTCCTTAGGGAGAGCACGAATGGAACATAGCACAGAGAAACAGAAACCACGAGAACTTCTTGACCTAGACATATTAGTATCCACCAGTTTTAAGTCGGTGGATGTTGGGTAGGCTAAGAAAAGTAGTGTTGTCTGGGACCAATAGCCATGCCATTCTGAAGGAGAAGATTTTCTTCCCCCTTCGCATTTAAGACATTTGGGACTAAAAGAAGAATAGATGTTAAGTCAAAACCAGTGGAACTGTGAGATAGAGGAGTCATTTTACAATGAATAAAGGGTCCCTGGTCCAGAGGAGATGATACTCTCTGTCTATGCACTTAATAAGAGTCATAAAATGTATGGAGCAAAAGCTGAGAACATTAAAATAAGGTAAATCTACAATCAGAGTTGTAGAGTGTAATACTCACTTCCAAGTAGCTAATAGAATAAGGTAAAAAAAATGGCCTAGATTAGAGTAAGTGATTCGACCAAATTGACTCCTGTACTGCCATTACACTCACCAGTGCAGTGGATGTTTTATCGGTGGACAAGCAGTGTTCTCTTAGACAGATCATACAGTCAAAGAGTTCAAAATGCAGCAGTGAATCTGTAGGGATTGAAACTACATGATTTATTTGCTGGCCAAAAAATAATGTAGAAGTTACATAACAAATGGCAGAATAACACCGAGTATTTGGAAATTAAATAGCACATTTCAAGTAACCCATTGATACTGATAAGGGTAGAGATAAAATAGAAGATTAGAAACTATTGTGAACTAAATTTTGGTATGGCAAACCTACATATATATTTTGGGTGTAGCTAACGTAGTATGTAGAGGGAGACAGGTCAGGTTTCATTAGAGAAGGAAAAATTCAAACAATCAATGGACATCCACCACAAGAGTCATGATCCATTATTCTTGGAATTTTTCCAATTCATTTTTACTTAAATATTTTATTTAATATTCCTTGATACGAATACTATGATTTATCCAATCCAATACCAATCATTCCTCAAAGCCTCCTACCTACTTTTTCCTTTCCAACTCCATGTGCTGTCTGTCTGTTTGTATGTTTTCTGGTTTTAAAGCAATACCCAATGAGTTCACCTAGTGCTTGTTCCCTGTATGTTCATAGTGTGGTCCCATCCCACTGGATAACTTCTTAGGACCCACATTCCCAAAGAAAAGAGATCCTTTCTCTTCTTTTGCAATTATTGAATTAAATATGTGAAATGAATTGCTTGACACAGAAAATTATCTATTATTAGTTCAAGTTTATTCTTTCCTTATACTGGGTATTAGCCTGCTCTATAGATATTTCTTACTTTCATTTTTCCATCTGTATTTGTCAGTAAAAGGTTATTTTTTTAAAGAATGGTGTGAGTTGCATGGTGGGGTTATAGACTCATTTTATGGTTCTTCCCTTTTGATTGTAATGTTTTGATGTTTATATTTGATGTAATTACTTAGGATCTTGCTTGATACTTGATTTGCTTTTGAAGGAATTTGTTGTTGCTGTTTTGCTTTTCCACTTACTCTTTATTCTAGTATTCCTTTGTTTCTGATTTTTTGGATTTGTATGATAATCTAATTAAGACAATATTAGTATCAACAATTTTCATTGTCATTTAACAAACCAATTATATATATATATATATATTATGGACCCTTCTCTGTAAGTTGTTGGTCAAGGTCACAAAGGCCACTAAAAATTGAAATCCACCCCAATTCTATAGTGTTGAGCTCCATCCACATCGCATTGCATTCCTGGGAAGAGGTGGGACAATCTTGAAGAACTCCACTGAGAATACATATACAAATATTCAAGAAAATAACTCATCTGGGACATTCAAAGAGATCCACTTGATATATCAGACACATTTGAAATTGAAATGAAGTTGATTCATAAAATAAAGTTCATAATATTCTTCAGTGTCTTACATTTCAATTTACATAGCATAATTCATGGAGATCCATGACGTGTTGGGTCCTGACCTAGCAAGTGTCTTACTGGGGAAATCACTATATTGCAATGTCACATTGGAACATTGGGTGGTACTGAAAATAGAATATAAACACTAGAATAAATTGGAAAAATAGAAGTTAAAAACACTCTACTGTGCAATTGCCCTGAATGACACATTTTCTCAGTCCACTCCTTATAATATTTCTACAGTGCAGTGAGGGACACAAAAGTAGACACAATTTCACTTAGCAGGAAGAAATGCCCTCCCACCTGCTTATCAATGCCAAGCTGGGTTCCCAAAGTATAGCACTACTCTCCAGGCCTGAGCATGCAATTTTCTTTTCTTTTTGTTTAAGTATCCCATTTGCAGTTTATTTTTTATTTAAATAACACTTTTAAAATTTATTTTACATGCCAATCCCTCCTCTCCTTCCTTCCCCTATGTTTCCCCATCTACCCCCCTTCCTATCCACTTCTCCTCCATCTTCTTTCAGAAAGAGACAGGCTTGCCATAGGCTTGAAAAAAAGCATGACATATCAAGTTGAGGCAGGACCCAGCTCCTCATTTACCTGGATTATCATCGAGACAGAGCAAGTAATCAAGCATGGGAAGCAGGTTACCAAAATCAAGGTAAATACCAAGGAAAAGTCCTAATGTCACTGTCAGAAACCTTATTAAGAGTCCAAGCTACAGGACTGTAACACACATGCAAAGGACCTAGGTCAGCACCATGCAGGCTCCCTGACTGTTGGGCCAGTTGTCCATGAGCTCCCTGGAGCTGGGGTCAGCTGTCTCTGAGGGTTCCCCCACCTTGACCCCTTGGTTGTATGCATTTTTCAGCTCAAGTTAAAAAAAAAACTAGGAGAGCATCATATGAAACAATAGCCAGTTTTCCCGAATCTTTTCTGGCATGATTGCCAAACCAGGAATTTTAGTTCAGTTCAGGGATGGATGCTTCTATTATTCTAGGCTTCTTCATAATTTGACACATGAACACTGCAGGGCAGCAATGGAGCCAGTGCAAACATCACAAATGTGTTAACTGGACACAAGATGGCAGTGTTTCAGTGAAGCACTACTTCCCCTCCACAAGGAGCATGCTAAAGACCGATTCTCAATAAACACTAAAGATGAATAGATATAGACATTTTCACAGCGTGGTGACCCTTGCCTGAACACATACTGCATGGGACTGTAAATCTTATTGGCAATCTGTGGCTGTCTGCTCATAGACAGATAAACCCAATGTTTTGCTTAATGATCACAGTATCAAATTACATTTTAAACATAAATCTCATTAATAAGTAGGAAAGAATCCAAGGTCACACAATCTCAAAAGCAAAAAAATAAAAAAAGTTGTCGCTCATTGTCATAGCCCTATGTAGCAGTCCCACGTTGCACGGCCAATCTGTAATAAGCCGCATTTGTGGGCCTTCAGTAGGATCCAGCTAACTTGCCAGGTTCGTACCTGAGAGGGGAAGTGTTGATTGAGAAACTGGAGTTAAAGATGCTCAAAAAGGGGATTGAAACAAAAGATGGAGTCGGGAAGTGAATCCAGCGAATCCTGGACACCACAAGTTTGTTCTTCATCATTCTCAAATGGAGGACATGGTAAAAGAATTCTTTATCATAAATAAGGAACAGCAGACTTCCTTTCCTTAATACTCCAAGCATTTGGTAACTACCTTTAGAATCAATTTATCCTCATAATTATCCTTCTTGTTATCACCATAATTTCCAAGTCATAGTTCATCTGGGTACTGACATCATCCAAACTTTCTTCCTGAATGTTAGCTTAGCAGACT